GTCTTAATGAGGGGTGACTGATGACAGGCCTGACTAATCAATGTACATATGAAAAATTCAATAATACCCTGGGGTTATATGGGACTATCATCGTGAGAGACATGAGTAGGCATTGCGCGATACAGGAATGGAAAAATGAAGCGATAGATTTCCACATCTGTGTCTTTGAATTATGTCATAAAGAGGGCTCCGAAGAATGAGATGTGAGGTGGGCAGGATAAAAAAGAGGATAAGTTGGTGATGTGTCTGCAGTTTAAAGAAAGGAAGCTGTTTAGACATGGGCATCACCTACTCTATCTATTCGAATATGATGTAAACGGAGACGGGACTTCAAGGGTCATAGACAGTCAGATTTAAAATAGCCAGAATGTGACTTTATTGCGTAGCAGAGGCCAATTGACAAGAGGGCTGGAAGAGGGACTAAATGAAAGTCAGAAGCCCTACCAACTGCACCTAAAGCCGGTGGTGAAGATCATTATGCTTCAATAAATCTATACTTGTAGCGACATACTCTTAGACGACATTAAAGCAAACGAGAGCAGAGAATTGTATAGATAGGTAAATGGGTCATATAAGGTGGGGTTGAGAAAAAAATATGCAGCACTAGAAGATAGGCCAAAAAATAAGAGCGAGGAGTGATTCAAAACTATTGGATAGAAATTGTGTCATAGGAAATGACTTCAGTTATTATTTTTAGGTTGTAACTCTGTGCTAGCGATGGCGCCTCTCAAAGACGATGCCGATTACGATACCATCGAAACGCTTAGGATTACACATAATTAATGGTCTAATGTCGTAATCACAAATAATCTGGCAGAGGTTGCATAACTAGGTAGGTTACATGCTGTTACTATTTTGATGAAACGAGTTCACACCAAAACTTCTTATCTTGTACTTGGTTTGGCCTGGTATTTAAATAACTCTATTTAATATGTTTCATGTGGTATAAGCCATTAAAATTATGTAAAACCGTTACTATGCTACTGAGAGAACGTATGTTTGCGTAATAAGTTGATGTGATGAACAAGAGCTACAGCAACTGAATTAATGGTGGTTCACTTATAGATATAGCCACGGGAATGAACACACTTGACCTGACATCTTTATTTTTTTATATTGGTCATTTTTAAAGAAAAGGACTAAAATAAACAGGATGCGCTTATTATAGGAAGCCATGTTAAAGGAAATAAACGTGTTTTTGGATTTTGAAATCACTTACACTGAATACGTCTACAAAATATCCTGGTCGTTCGGAATAACTAGCAAAGGTTTCAAAATAATATATAATGTTATGAATCTCTAAATGAATGTATGTAATAACTAGAAATGTAAAATAAACGAAATCGTGACTGTCTTTTAAATGCTTTAAATATTAACCTTCATTTCATTTCAACTTCAGGCAAGGTGCCTCCAACTAAGTCATCTTGTCAACAGTATCATCATAAAGCTGCTTTATCCCTTCTATGCGTTACATGAACCTACTATTTCTCAAGAGAAAAAGACTTTTTTATACATAAATTTTTGTTATATTCTTTTGCGATTTAATTATTTTTAAATCCTATTCAAGGTTATCTTACTTGCTATTTGATTTTGATTTTGTGCTCCTTTTCTAATTAAACCTTGAAAAATTTAAGTCTAGGTGTCACCTGCAATTTGAATTACCACTTTCTATACGTATCCTTAGATCTCATTAGTCATACCACTATTCAAACCTGAGATGAAATCTAGATTTATGTTTCATCTTTTAAAAGTCTATATACTTCCCTTCATTAAAAAACACATTTTAATTTCCTTTATGTCATGTGATCATAAATAATATTAATAAAAGTGGTCTGACCTAGACTTCGATACTCGGTCTCGTTCTTAAGGCCAACTAGTCTAACTTTCCTTGTCCGAAGTTCTCTGCCCTATTTACTGAGATAATTCCCATGATTGGACGTTAAACTTGGTCCATTCCCAAACAGTTCACCAGGATCGCATTCAGCACGCCAGTGAGTCTTGCAAACGAAAACTCCTAAAAGGAAATGTAAAGTAAATCAATTTATCAACTTTCTGCCTAACAGTTGTGGTGTTACAGTCATTCTGTCCTGGCACATCTGACTATTATTTAACCTCGTTTTTCACTTCTACACTATAAAGACTCCTGACTACTTATATATGACTCCTCTTGAGGTGTCCTCGTTTTTTAGCGAGAATCGTATGGCGTAAACAAACACACAGTTCACATTGTACCGCCATCCCCCTCAGTTTGTGGAACCGATTCAGTCCTTTCATCTGAATGCCATTCATGAGCCGTGAAGATTTGTTTCTTAACTTACTGGTTGAATGATAAACACACAAATAAATTAACCTTGCAGACTGTCATTCAATTTAAAATTATATCCAGTTTACTACGCGTCTAACAAAATCCATATAAAAATTAAGTATTTATAGGTTTCGACGATTTTGAGACTACCAGTTAATCAGATATATGAGTCGTGTTCTCCCTATTTCGTTTAAGGTGATGAAGCGCTGATAGCTGATTTTACTACAATGATATGAGTAGAGCAGACGTTTTCACTGAATTTCACATAGTCTTGCTTTATCAAAAGCAGTTCTTATCAAGATTAGACTGTAGATTCGACTTGGCATAGGTCTTATCAACATCCTAAGCGAGAGTCTAACCAGTATAATGCAGCGTGTAAGATCGACACGTTAATTACTACACCACAGTGCCACTAGTGCTCTTGGGTCAGGGGTCAGAAATTTTCGAAAATACCTGTTATTTCTTAAAAGTCACATCTGTCCTGAGACCCCGGGGTGTTGTTAAGACCTATGCGAGGTCAAAACTGCAGTCGACTCTCGATAATAAATCCTTTTCAGAAGGCAGATGAGTGAAATTCAATGGAAATGTTTGTCCTATACATGTCATTGTGGAAAAAATCAACTAAAATTCCTTCATTTCCTTAAGGATTTAGAACGAATACAACATATATACTTATTTTTCGGTCATAATGATCCGTTTTGAGGCTTAGATACCAATCTGCCTATTCGAAGCAGCTATCATAATATACTTAAATCGAAAGCATTTTAGCTAAGTTTTCTGAGATCTGAACAAAGAAGAAACAAGAATATTTATCGTTATTATATGAATAGCAACATTTAATGAATTAATCATGAAATTTCAAAAAAATTGAATCTCAAAACTATGCATATCATTATTTCTGATTAAGACGATACGCCGAAGCGACTTTTCATGAAGCATAAAAAATACACAAACCAACTAATTTGAGCATATAATTAATAAATTTATATATTAAACAATCTTTTATTTTACATTTTTAATAGTACACGTGATTAGTAGTAAATTTATTAAATAGTTATTTATGCCGCGATATATGAACATTTATTTACCCGCTTGTTTCGTAATAAGTCAGTATCTGGTTCTTTGTTTATAATTTTATTTTACGTCATCTTGTGCATACTTTATAGGTTTAGGTTATAATATTGCATTTTAGTTCTTATTAAAACTTTTAATCAAGTTTTCTTAGATTTTCAATGAGATATTTTTCGCCTTCATAATAAATTGGATATTGTTGGCAATATTGTTCATAGATTTATCCTTTGCAATTTTTTGACAAATTAAACTACTTATAAATTAGCTCACTTACGACTTTGAATAATTTTGCAATTTTTTTATAGTTTTTTAATTTTTACACTCACTATTTGTTAGGTATTCATACTGTGAAAGTTATTTAACCGTTTCATGATTGCATACTAAAAAAGGTTACTAACCTAAGTTGTGATACAAAATATTTTTCTTTAATTATCCACCTGGAAACTGCTTTCATCTATTTCGCCTTCAGATGACATTTTTATTTTTACTGTTAGCAATGCAGGTGGATATTTCGCCAAAGGAGTTTGCACGTTATCAAAATCAACTCATCGAGTTGAGAAACGAAAATTATCTGGCTACTGAGGCTAGGAATAAGGCTCTTAAAACGGTTGAGAATCTGGAAGTTCAGTTAGCAAAATTAAGCTGTGAACTTGCGAATACGAATGCGAATCTAACCCGTATCCAAAACGCCGGAAATATTACCGAGATATACAAAGAAAATGATCAACTTCGGCATAAACTAATCGGATTGGAATCTTCTTTTCAACTTCAGTCATCAACCCTTCGTGCAGAAGTCACTCGTCTTATAACTGAAAAAGAGGAACTCCTGCTAAAGGGATTATCTCCGTCTGATGCATTTTCTAGAGCCCAGAAACAGGAGTCACAGGCCATACAATTTCCTTCTACTTCAATCCAGATAACTAATCAAATGACTCAGACTGATCTTTCTGGCAATGTAGTCATCCACGATGAGCAAGAGGCCGTCATTCTCAGAGCTCGCCTGCAAGAATTACAGTCAGATCTTCAAGCTGCTCACAGAGATCGCGAATTATTCTCCTTTCGGTTAGAGGAAGCTAACCTAGAATTGCGTTCCAAGGAAGAACATTTTAGCACCAAGCTCATTGATTATCAACAAAAGCAAGAAGAAGGGCAAAAAGAACTCGCACGATTAGAGCAGGAACTTGCTCAAGCCAGAGAAATTGCAGAGTCCTCACGCGATGCTGCTGAATCTATAAGGCGACGATCGGAAAATGTTAAACGTGATCTAAAACGTCAGCTGGCGAATGCCATAAAAAATTCTGGCTCACTTGGGCCTAACCGTATTTCTCGGCAAAATGATGATTCAGAATCTCTATGCAGTTTACTTAGTGCAGGAGGTGCCCAACGGTTCAGCAAACTTTCGGCACCAGAATGCCAATCAATCCATTCTTGTGGAAGTTCAGATCAGGAATTAAATGGCTTACCTTTCGGATACCGCGGTAAAAGTGATGGGCCTTTTCCAATGAATAGCGAGCGAGATAAAAAATCCCTTATTGACAGTAATGTATCCAACTCTATTAAGGAAGCCACGCGAGGTCTGGGTCAGTTGGCTCCATCTTCGATAAGGTCATTTGATTCGGACCAAATACTTACAAATACCTTGTCTGAGGCTGACTTCAGAGTGAGTAAAAATATTTTAAATTGAATATATCTTTTGGTTATGCAAAATAATTCCTATTTTAAATATCACACAAATTATATATATATAAATCTTAAGTAAAATGTCTTACTTAGCTCACAATTTGACTGCTTGAAAGAAGACGATTTGCCAGTGTTGATAATTATTTGTCGTTTTCATAATGTATACTTGTTAGTCACAAGATTTGCGGGAATGCATTATTTTTAAAAGTGAATTATTCATCGTACTTGTATTATATTTAAACTCGACATTACATACCATAACATGTATTCTTTATAGCCCACTGTGAGTTTCAAATAAACATTGCATCCTTTTAATACTACCAATTTCTTGCTGTCCAACTTTTGGAAATAAATTTTGTAATTATTTTATACCACTCTTTCGGATAATCTTTCCTTGTCTCCTGCGTCCTATAAAATATTTCCGATAATAGTGAAAAATCATTCTACTCCGTGCTGTGGTGTTTCTCAATGGCAATTACATGTGTACTAGGAACCTATTGTATCGTATCTAAAATGGATGCTTGCAGGATTTTGTTTATAGGTTTATGTACGCTACAAAACTACCAGCCGACTATTGGTAATGACAGGTCGCAATTTCTGTCCAGAATCATCATCGCGATTACCCACCAGCAACGCATTAATTGTTGAATTGATTCATGATCAACGTGAATATAGTTATAACCATCAGTGAGCTTACCAGTCAAGTAGTTCTCTTTTAGTATTCAGTTCAATGCCTTTCTTCTTCTTAATTCTATCTCTCAAACACAAGTAGTTTTTACTCCATTTTTTATCTCTTTTCCTTAAATTAAACGTATTTCATAATCTGTTAATTTGGTTAGCCTCTCTTCCATTTAGCTTCAGACGTATCACGACTAGCAAACCGATATCTGATTACTTCAATAGTCTCAACCATTTCGTCCTGCTGGACTAAACCACCTTTACAAGCATTTTATATTCTGCTTTAACAGGTCTCACCAACAAAATGGAGACAAATTGAACATAAAATCTTGTATCAGTTGGATCTTAAAAATAGGTTCAATATTTATCCATAAGTGAATATAACAAAAAAACGTCAGGATTTCTTTGAAGACTATTTTTATTTTCCACTTTCTCATTAGTTCGCTCACCTTTTTATATAAAAAGCATTACGGGAAAATTAAGAGATCAAAAAATGTTTCTGGTTGCCTATCTACTGTAAAATAGTAGCCGTCTAAAGTGTATTCCTTATTAGAAAGATATTATTTTCAATCACATCTAAATTATTATTATTATCTATTTAATTATTGTATATTAGTTGTTTGGCATTGTTTTTATAATTTTATCATGCTAACGGGAGGATATAGAGGAACGCTCCTTGTCCATAGTCCATATTATGTATGATAATTTCCAGTCAGACCGTGGACTTGGTATATTCCCAGATATTTCGCTGGCATCGCCAATGAGCCTTGCCATTCTTAGCACCCCACTACAACTCGTCAAGGAGACAAGGTTCACAACGATGCAGGCGAAATGTCTGGGAATGCACCAAGTCCACGGCCCTATTCCGAAAATTGTCATGCATACTATTGACTCTGGAAAAGGTGCGTTTCTCTAGGTCCTTCTGCCAATATGACCAAGTTGCGAAAACTAGATCAAATAACTTCTATACAATGAAAAGAGACTGCGGCTATACAAAAGGTCAAACTATCTTGGTCTTCATACCTCGATTATCTAATTATTGCCTATCTAATTTTATCCAAATGATCTATGTCAACAAGTCACACTCCTAATTATCACAGATTTAAAATATTCAAAATCATAGATGAGCTATTATTGTTAAAAATAAGATCCAAAATAGAACAATTGTATGCAAGTTCCTTAGAAGCACCTCCAAAATATGTAAGCTATTATTCTTTTATGATTTCATTTTAAATTTAATATTACTTTCACTATCTTGTCACTTTTCCTGCGATGCTGTCAAAGAATAAAATAGTCATATATATATATATATACCACAATTCCGGAGCCAAAATACCTTTTCAATTAAACTTTTCTAAAATTTCATCATGCAATTATTCCTCAAAATATCAGCCAATTAATCTCTTTGAAAGTCCTTCTATTTGTTCATATAATTCACCGTTAAAAGAAAAATAATTACTTATCGTTGATTGTCCAAGAAATATCAACACTTGTCTTTCTAAACTTATCACCTCCATAATTTCCAAAGCTTGACTGTCTCCCTGAGCTGTAATACAGCTTGACACCAATACCACATCCAAGCGTAATAATTTCTCCTTCACCTAAGTCGTTAGTCTACTAATTTAAAAGAAACTTTATGGAACATAATTAATATTGAACCATTTTTAGTTAATGTCTGAATAAGAAACGTGCCTCACACTTCCTTCAGTATTCACATTTAATCTGACAAGAATCCTCTCCTTGTACTCCTTTGGGTAGTTTTTAATCTCTTTGACGAATTGAGTTCATTTTATGTTACTCAAGCACTACTTTAGAGCATCAATGAGCCTTGTTTTAAGTCTCATTCTTCGTTCCTTCATGAAAGGCCTCATGCCGTCTTTTGCTGAGATCGATCCGCGAATCTTTTCATCAGGCATATTCAAAAAAAATGAAATTCAATACAGCACAGTTACACCTTGTATAATTTACTATATCATATATTTCGATTTTATACTAACCAGATTTTCCTGCCAAAGCATATATTTCCTCAGTTATGTAAACTTGTAGTTGTTGGTCTCTGACTAAGTTTGCTTACGTTTTTAACTTACTGTTAGAAATCCTACATGCGAACATAAAGGCTTGTTTAAAACTGTCGGTTATCGCTCCTGGTCCTGATTATTACAATCGTTATTACAGGCTTTTACAGATATAATTCTCTTTCATTTTCACTTAATGTCTTTAGTCAATATGGCCAGTCCCGCGTTACGAATAAGACACAATAGTATATTAGCAATAATCGAAATTTTGACTTGGTTGATCAGGCTTTTGAATGCTTTGCTTACAGCTGCTGGAAAGTTTTTTATTTTTATGAATGGTTTTGAAAACTAGGGGAAAAAAGCTACGGTTTGTGGCGCGTTAATGACTTGAAATCGTTATTAGAATATGACCCAACTCCGATTATGTTTCTTAGGTATGTAGACCAAGATGGTGTGGCTTAGGATTTAGTCGCTGTCTCGTTTATCTGTATAGCATTGGTTTCGCCTTATTTTTGCAGCTTTATCGGAGCGATTGGGAGACCTTGTGAAACATACCTATTCCTGCGTACTCTGCCATAGTATTCGTCATAATACCCAGCATCGGACCATTGACTTGGTATATTCCCAGTCGTTTCTTAAGCAAATTAGTTCACATTATCTATTAGAGGCGCTATTCTCCGCACAGAGTTACAACTTATCACAGTTCACTGCTGGAAGTTATCATCAATACTGTGGCTGAGGAAGGAGGACTAGATGTGCCCTATCGAGTCTCCCTGTCGCTCTGATAATTCCTGTCTAATGGCAGAAGAAAGCCCAGCAATTTTTGGTCATAGCTGAAGAAGATTATCGCGACAACTGCGCCAGTACGGACGTCGCAAGAAAACCAAGCTTCAGGCCGAGGGGCATTATCCGTCATCTTCTAGTGAAATCGACCGGCGAATATCTTTGTCATGCTTTCAGACAAAACGAAAATCAGCAACTCCATTTATTATATTTCTATCATGGACCCGTATTTGTCTCCGTCTAATCGCCTATATATTTTTTTGATATGCTTCATGTTTATCTAAATTAGATTAACTCTCTTGCATTATACTTGCCTTTTAATTCGATGACAAATTTACCCACTCAAAGCCATAATTATTGTGATTAGGCTGATAGGATTGTTGATGAATAAACGACTTGCTAATATATATGATGGACTATTTTTGCAAAGGATTCTATTAATGTACTGTTGGTATCCAGGTTGAATTGTTACACCCTTAATAGGATATGTGCGCTTAGATAAGCTTATTAGTCCCAGAATCGCATTATCATTTGTTTCATCATGCTTATTCTTTTCTCGTTAATTAATGCTTTTAACCACTTTTCTGGAGAGTAAAAGATTTTACAATACTGCCAAGTTATTTATGTTATTTCACTCA